AATAACTACAATCTTTAGGATCCGCTTTCCACCATATATGATACCCAGAACAATCAGGCAAATCAATATCGTTACCATCCCCGAATCTCCTCATGAAATCATTATCTAATGACTCCGGACCTTGAGCGTTTCTTGTCGACAAATCTAGTATTTGATGAAATATCATTTTCACGTCATCGTCATCATCGCGTTTATCACCAGGCTTTTTTGTTAGTTGTGGCTTTCGATCGTGATTGTCTGAAGATGGTTTTTTTGTTGGATGTGGTATGTGATGGGGTGATGAAGTGATGTGATCATCATCATTATCGTCAGATCTTTTGGGCTTCCCTGTTGGATGTGGCATGTAAAGTGATGAAGCTGTGAGTAGGGAGTCAGTATCTGGTGATGGATATGGTTTATCTCCGTTAATGCCAACTGAAATGCATTCACTGGTCCTACCGGGTATGCATCGCTTGAAAAGAAATAAACAAGTAATACATCAAATATATTTTCAATGATTAATGAGCTCTATTCTAGCAAATTCTCGTCCCCAATCTCCACAATCCCTAAATCCCCAACAATCCTCAAAAGGCCGGTAATGCACTTGTAATGCCTCCGGTGTTACGGATGTACATGAACGGCACCGATTGCTTACCATCAGGTGATCCGTCTGCTTGTTTACCGTCTTATCCCAACAAAAAAAAAAAAAAACAATCAGTCTTATTGATATTTAAAGTGGAGGTACTTGTGGAAAACATTGGATTATACTAGCCACTTCCGCGCGGATTCACTCGTTCTGCTCAGTTTATTGCTTGTATCGTGATATTTAATAGCCCGTAGCCTTCCTCGATAAATGGATTATCCAACACATACAGAATTTTTCAAATCGAACCAGTGTGGTTACGGATGTTAGCGCATTCAACCAAAGTACTATTACATAATGTACTACTACTACTACATAATGCCTACCCCTTCAAGGATAAAAGGCGTGATGTTATGTATGTCAACCAAAGTAACTCATCAGCTTTGTATCTATAACACATACTCGTTTCGAATACTTTAAACGTAAATCAAACTCGTACTAAGACCTCTGTTCTCAGGAAGGAGGTGACATTCCAATTACTTTTGACGCAAACATATAAACGGGGCAAGCTAAATGAAACACTATTATAATGATGACAAGATACAAGTGGTGTGGATTCCACATAAATGTAACGGGAGAGTCGTGCTTCAGCAGGAATGGGCCGGCTAATCACGGCCTCATAGAAAACCAGGGTGGAACAACTTGCACTGTTCTGTCGTGTGAATGAGGTTACCAGAGACCCAAGACCCCTTCCCAAAAGGCTGGCAACGGACTTGTACCTCCTCTGGTGTTGCGGATGCCTTTTTTAAGAGGGGATAATCATCTAATGACGTCACGGAGAACCTAACGGGTAACCGGGGCTCCGGCTCGACGTGCAGGAGAAAGAACGGCGTGGTTTTTAGTCAGTAAGAGTCTGACACTCCCCTTCCCCCCTAAAAAAAAATCATCTAATGATTCTTCCACCTTAGTTAAGGCGAGAAGTGGCAGAGTCATGCTGACTAAAAACTACCCGGTTTCCTACTAGTACTTCGAGCCGGCAACCCGTTAGATATCGTCCGTAGCTCCGGGTCGGGCATAAGCCCTTTAGCTGATTTGTGACTTTTTGAGGTTGCTGATGTCCTTGGGTGACGTTCATTTGTTCACTATCATGTAATCAATCTTCTCGTCAAAACACATGCCACAAAATCGAAAACCTTTTATTAAATGTCTCGCCAATAATACGTTAATTAACCTTTCAACTTATTCTTGGAAAAAATAACAAAGAATATGTAAATTTTATTTTACCTACTTTTAATTCGTAACCAATTGCGTTATACGCTTTATGCAATATGAAGGAAAAGTTATAATTGTGTGAGCCCATTACCAATCTGGAAGCCTAAATGGAATTCGCACGATTAGTTTCAAACTTCCGATAAGGGCTCACAGTTATGGAGACTGATAGTCGAATAATCTCTTTTTATGGAATAAAGAATCTGTCTCACCGGAGGAGTTGCAAGCCGTGGCCGTTTTAGTAGGTGGGGTATTTTTTTAAGGGGGGAAAATCATCGAATTGCTGCTCCCGCCTGGGTGAAGCGGGAGAGAGTGTCAGACTCTTACTGACTAAAAACCACCCCGTTCCTTCTCCAGCGCTTCGCGCGACAGTAGGTGGGGTATTGGGTATCCAGCAACCTCACTCACACCAAACAAGCGTTAATTAATACTGAATTCCTGTGAGGCCGTGGTATCACTCCGGTTGAACCGACACATTCATGCTGAAGCATGGCTCCTCTACACTTTGTCAGCATGGTTCTCCCGCACTTATTGCAATACTTGCTTCTGCCAGCGGCTTCGAACGCGTTCTCATTTTATAAAAAGTGGCCTATGTGTCATTCCATATCATAATCTACCCCTGTTCCAAATTTTAACCCAATCCCTTCAGCCGGTTTCACGTGATTAAGTAACAAACATAAACAAGCTCACAGACCTTCGCATTTCTAATATTAGTAAGATATATCACACGATATTAGTTAAAGTACTTACAAATGTGTCCTGACTGAAGGCATAACCTTCATCACATTGTCCTATTAGAACTTCTCCGTCTTTGCAGAAGTAATATGAACGGCAGTCTATCTCATGTGGTACAGCATCATACTCGGGGTATTGACATGGATCCAAATGTGTCAAAGATGGTTGGAAGCTGAGCACGCTTTTGGAGTAGAGCAGCAGAAACATGAGCCGGATATCTGTGAATATAAAAGAGCTAAAGTAAGTCAAGGTGTCATCATCAATATATGCGCCAAAATACATCCATTGCTAAACATAGGTCTCGTCCAATGACTTCCAAATCGGTCGGTTGAAAGTGACTTCCATCTAACGGCAAACAAGTGTGGGAGAGCCATGCTTCGGCACGAATGGGCCGGTTCGACCGGAGTGATACCACGGCCTCACAGAAAACCGACGTGAAACAACGCTTGCGTTGTGTTTCGTCGTGTGAGTGAGGTTGCCGGAGGCCCAATTAGCCCCCTCGCAATCTCCAGATATACAACAATCCTTAAATTCCTAATCAAAAAAGGCCGGTAACGCACTTGTAACGCTTTTGGTGTTTCAGGTGTATATAGGCAGCGTCGATTGCTTACCATCAGGTCGTCTGCTCCTTTACCGGCTTATCCCAAAAAAAACCAAACCACGTGCCAAGTGCTGAGGTTATAGCTGATTATGGTAATCTTTCTAAATAGAGCCTTTCCTCAGCAGTGGACATATTCTAGCTATTGATGTCGACGAGTATTGAGCTTTGTAAAATTTGTAGTAACGAAATATCAATTCGTGAAAAAGACAAAAAGAAACTCACCCATAATGAATGTTTCACCGCCAGCGGCCAGTTCGACAATATAGGTAAGTACCTAAATTAAAATGGCTACCGTTTGCAAATCGATATAATATTATAAATTATAAATAATAAGCATTGAAATCGATTAAAAAGAAAATTGTTCCATGCTTACTTTCCTAATATTAACTACACGCCCGTGTAAAATTCTGTCAATCAGGCTTGTTAATTTTTCGCCAATAATATGTAACAATACTATTAACCAAATGGTGATTGTAGAGTAAGATAAGTTAATCACCATCCCCACTCTAGTAATGAAAATTAGATTAACAAACATACGTACCAACATTCATATTTAATGTAGATTTAGAATTATTAATAAGCATGAAAATTGTCGATTTATTACGTATATACATAGGTATTGTAATGCGAACTACGTAATCCAGATTCGTAATCATAATTGCAATGATTAGTTATTTTTCTAGTTTACTTTTGGACGTCATGTGCCTATTTCAGCACCGTTATGTAATTAGGTACTAACTAGTGACCTAGACAAATTAATCAGATTTTTTCCAATAGGTAATCACTCTATTATATTAAGACTGCCGCGGAGAACCTAACGGGTTACCGGGGCTCCGGCTCGAAGTGCAGGAGAAGGAACGGGGTGGTTTTTAGTCAGTAATTGAGTGGGAGAGCCATGCTTCGGTACGAATGGGCCGGCTCGACCGGAGTGATACCACGGCCTCACAGAAAACCAACGTCAAGCAACGCGTTGCGTTGTGTTTCGTCGTGTGAGTGAGGTTACCGGAGACCCAATTATCCTCCCCTTCCCCAATCGCCCCAATTCCTGAACCCCAACGATCCTCAAACTTCTAAATCCTCAAAAGGCCGGTAACGCACTTGTAACTCTAGTGTTCCAGGTGTCCATGGGTGACGCCGATTGCTTACCATCAGGTGATCCGTCTGCGCGTTTACCGGATTATGCCATAAAGAAAGTCTGACACCTCACCCAGGCGGGAGAAGCTATTCGATAATTTCCCTCCCTTAAAAAAATATATAACCTATACATGTATACATATCAGTTAAAGTAGGTAAACGTACATATATTCGGTTTCACAGATACAGCTAGTCAAATCCAATAATGTCATTGAAATGTCAAAGTAGATAGGTACTTTTTTACAAATTTTGTATGAAGTAATAAATTAAGGACGCCATAATTCACGGGTCTGCAGACGCTGAGCAAGGGTATCTCACCGCCCAACCAGAACCAGACCTAAACGTCAAAAAGCCATCAGATCACCACAGATGGGGCCCAATAGGGCTGATGCCGATACGGAGCCGCGGAGGACTTTACGGGTTGCCGGGGCTTCGGCTCGAAGCATGAGTAGAAACGGGGCGGTTTTTAGTCAGTTATAGGTAAGGGTCTCACACTCTTACTGATGATGTCACTTAGGGATGACTTTTTCCCATCGTAAAAAATGATGTCATAATGTTTTTGAGTCATATAGCATACCTATTTACATAATTCTTAAAAAAATAGCCAGAAATTACGAAAATTGTGATGGGCAACATACAATCTAGTATTATAACAAAAAAAAAAACAAACAATAACAACGTGGAACACATCTTTATTAATCACTCATCGTCGTCATCTTCATCTTGGTCTTCATCATCGCTCTGTCTCCGTGCCAGCTTAGCCTCCAGTTCTTTAGCTGGGTTGAACATACCGCTCGTCTGAGCGTTACATATGAAACATCGTGTACTTTTCTTGTAATTCGCCAAAGCGCATTTTTCGCAGAAGTAGTGTTTGCATCTGTGAATAAAATGTATAGAGAATTAGGTTCGAAGGTAGTGAAAGTAGTTCTTATAGGAAATAAATAAATAATTATTTCGACAATCTGAGTGACACCACGGCCTCACAGAAAACCGATGTGAAACAACGCTTGCATTGTGTTTCGTCGTGTTAGTGAGGTTACAGGAGGCAACAATTACCCTCCCCTTCCCCAATGTCCCCAATTCCTGAATCCCCAACGATCCTCAAACTCCTCCGGTAACGCACTTGTAATGCTGTTCCAGGTGTCCATGGGCGACGCCGATTGCTTACTATCAGGTGATCCGTCTGCTCGTTTACCGGCTTATGCCATAAAAAATATATATTGCACCCATGCGCTAGTAATTTTATAAACTCACTTGGTTACAACAGGATCTGTAAAGCTGTTCCTACATATGAAGCAGCGGAAAGGCAGTTCCTCATCACTGTCCACTTCATAGTCTGAGTCTCCAGCTGGAGCAGCGCCCTCCGTCTCCTCGCGTTCCAGCTGCCAGCCGTGCTTGTAGTCTGAACGGTCGTGAAGGAACTTGCACGAGTCTGGAATTGTATAGTAGTTATATTAGTTTACTAGTATTGTGCCCAGGATATTAAAATTCCGCTCTCCCTATTAAGCTATTTATAGACTTCCAAAAAAGGAGGAGGTACTATGTTCGACTGACTGTTTTTTAACTTTATATGAAAGGACGAAATTTAGCTTTGTATTCTATAAGGATTTTTATTCAATGAAAATACGTACAAAACCACATTTCCTGGAAATGAAACCTAGCCAGAACAATTTACCCCGAAACCTCCTAAATACAATTTTAAGAACATCGATGGAGCCGTTTCGCTGTTCGTTGGTGTAATAGATTTATTATTGTTACTACTGCTTACCTCCAAAACCACAGAAGCCAGTCTCCTTGTAATCTTTACAAATATCCGGCTGGTAATCCCATCTGAAATTAGAAAAATATCACTGTTATTTTATGACCACTGAATATGTATGTACATTCAGAAACCATTATGAATACATATTCATAATAATGGACATACATATATGTATGTACAGTCATTGAGTCGTCGACATTGTACAGTGGCATAATATACACCTCTGCCTACCCCTTCGGGAATAAAAGGCGTGATGTTATGTTCTCAGTTCCATGTAATAGGGAGTGAACCTATTGCTATATACTGGGCACAATTTCAAACTCCGTGCACCACTGAGATTTTTTTAAAAACCCAGTAATACTTTGCCCGAACCGCGAATCGAACCCGAGACCCCGTGCCCGGCATTTGCACTTGCGACCACTCGGCCAACGAGGCGGTCCATAATTGTTACTATTGTATTTTCTAACCACCTGTATGTGTACATTATGGATGCAATAAATACTTGATTACTTGATTTTAGTAGTAAATAAGTTTGCTAGCAAACCCGGCGAACTCCGTTTCACCACCAGATGGCTTCGTTTTATGTAACATTCTTTGCTATAAACCTCACGGAGCCCGAGACCTTTCCAACGCATGCCAAACCGTAGAAATCGGTTCGTGGGTTCTGGAGTTATAGCGTCAGGAAGGAAAACCCGACTTATTTTTATATAGATTTTTTTTTTTAAGGGGGAAAATCATCGAATGACTGCTCCCGCCTGGGTGCGGCGGAAGGGAGTGTCAGACTCTTACTGACTAAAAACCACCCCGTTCCTTCTCCTGCACGTCGAGCCGGAGCCCCGGTTACCCGTTAGGTTCTCCGCGACTCCGAAGCGGCATCGGCCCTGTTGGGCCCCATCTGTGGTGGTCTGATGGCTCTTTGAGGCGCGCGCGGAACGCTACGCGCCGTACGCTCGGGTCTGTTTCTGGTCGGACGGGGAGCCACCCATGCTCGCCGTCCGCAGTCCCGCGCTTACGGTGGCCGGAGATCGTTTATATAGTAGATAAGAATAGAATTTAAAACATTCTCTTACCTGACAGTAGCCCTCAGATTAGCAGGTGCCCTGATAGGTCCCTTCCTAACGAGCCCCGAGCTCGCATTACCGGCCGCTGTGTCTCGTTTCTTGTAGTACTGCGCGTAGTTGTTCATGCCGCGGTATACCTGTAATGTTTATTGTCAAAAGTGATGGTAAGCTGACTGTCGAAGTCAGTTGTGGGTGTATATTTACCAGGTTTTGTTCTTTTACCAATTTTACATACATAACTTCACGCCTGTCTCCCATGGGGGTAGGCAGAGACTAAGGAACGCCACTTACTACGATTCTTACATACCTCTTTCGCTTCATTAACAGTCATCAATCTTTTCATGCATGCTCGTCGGTTAAGGGTACTTTTAATTTGATCCTTCTTTAAAATATCGCCAATCTGGTCACTATATGTCCGTCTCGGGTGCCCTCTACCGACGGCCCCATTCATATCCGCTCTGTATACTTCTTTCGTTACTCTACTTTCATCCATCCTTTTTACATGTCCAAACCAGCGTAACCCTTTTCAATCCTTGTCACTACATAATCTTTCAATCCACACCTCTCTCTAATAACACTATTTTTCACTCGATCACTCAATTTTAGTCCACACATACTTCTCACGGCGCTCATTTCCACCGCATTAATCCTGCTTTCATGCTTCTTCTGCCACACCCATGATTCACTACCATACATAAGCGTTGGTGTCAATACACACTGCATTACAGCAAGTCGAGCTTTGATGGATATTATTTTACCTATTTTCTAACAATAAAATAATAAGCTACTTTGCAGAAATTGACTGCACGGTTGGTGCGGTGGCTGCGCAACCGGCTGCCGTGCAACCTGTCACGGCTTTAATTCCCGCACGGAACACTTTGTGTGATCCACAAATTGTTGTTCCGGGTCTGAGTGTCATGTGTATGTGAACTTGTATGTTTGTAAACGCACACACAATACAGGAGAAAATCCTAGTGGGGCAACGTTTAAAAAACACCATGCTTCGCCACAATTGGAAAAATATTTAAATCAGCTGAAGCAATGAATTTGCAGCATGCAGTATGCAGCATAGTTCTCCCGCCCGGAGATACACGAGGCGCAACAAACAAACTCTCTGTTTGTTGCGTGTCGATTTTCTTAGTCATCAAAAGGTTAGCCTTAACCCCTCGAGCGTCCTTATGAGCACTCGGTGGATCATAAGAAAAAATGCTCCATGCTGCTTTCTCTTTTATAAAATCTATTATTAATGTTTTGTTTTTATTTTGACTGTATTTTTTATTTCTATTGTAATGATCCTTGTTTTCGTGTGCCAATGGCTAAATAAATGCATTTTCTTTCTTTCTTTCTCCAAATGTTACGTGTGCACCCGTTGGATCATAAGGAACGCGGACGCTCGACGGACTAAGTGTACCTAAGACCATAATGTATGTAATAAAAACTCGATGTAAAATGATTATTATATTATTAGTTACCTTGTCATCAGCCTGGCCCTGTAGCTCCTCGTTAATCTTCTGTGCCTTCTCGAAGATGGCCTGTGCATCACGATCGTGTTCAGTGTCCAGTTCATAGGTGGCGGTGGCGTTCTCTCGCTGTTGTTGTACTGATAGTGTGGTACGCTGTTTTAGCTGGAATGAAATTATAAAGGATTAAAAGTTGGTAAGTTTCAGGAGAATGGAATTGCCAGTGTATCGAAATTAAAAAATCTAATTAGACCGTCACTTAGATAATTGCACATTTATCGCATTGGGTATTAACCTGTAAAGATAAAAGGTAAGTGGAATAAATAAATAAATAATTTTTTTTTTTTTTTTTATATAATATATGTATTGCAATCTATCATATAGATATTCAGCAATATTTTTGTTAAATGCAGCAGACTTGTACGTGGGCTGTCCAGTGACTGCCCCGTTTATATTTACAACCTCCTAGATGAGGTCTTGAGGAATCTTTCTCTTTAGTCTTCTAGCGACTGTTTGGGTGTCCATTAGGTTTACTGCTAGCTTGTTTGGATGGCTTGTGATTCGGTCTTTGTACACTTTAGTCATTTTGGAAATTTCTTCCATTACAGTACTGATGCAGAGGTCGTGGTGAAGTCTGTTATTTGAGACATACCATGGTGCGTTTGTTATCATTCTCAACATTTTTGACTGGAACCTTTGCACAATTTCAATATTTGACTTTGCCGCTGAGCCCCACAGCTGTAGGCCGTATGTCCATGTAGGCTTTATTATGCATTTATATAGCAACAATTTATTTTCCATAGAGAGTTGAGACTTGTTACTCAGTAGCCAATGCATTTTGCGTATCTGTTGACCCATAGCCAGCCGCTTGGTAAATATATGCTTTTTCCAAGTCAGGCGTCTATCCAAATATATTCCGAGGTACTTGGCGTATTCCTCTTGTGGGAGAGGGATGCCGTTTAGGGTCACAGGAGGACACGTTCCTTTCTTGTTTGCGAAAGTCACCTGGACAGACTTAGTTTCATTGGCCTTGATTCGCCAGTCTTTGAGCCATTTCGATATTTGGTCGAGACTAGACTGAAGTTTTTGTGATGCAACGTCTGGTGAAGTGTCCACCGAGAGGATAGCTGTGTCGTCCGCAAATGTTCCAGTGACGACACCTTCTGTTATTGGGAGGTCGGCTGTGAAAAGTAGATATAACATTGGGCCCATTACACTACCCTGTGGTACTCCAGCTTGGACAGTATGTAAGGTAGTTTTCTCTTCATTTTGTTTCACGAAAAAGTGTCTGTCGCTTAGATAGGACTTTATAAGATTGTAGAAATTTATAGGTAGGTTTCGTTTTATTTTGAACAGTAGTCCGTCATGCCAAACACGATCAAATGCTTGAGATATATCTAAGAAGGCTGCAGTACTATACTGTTTTGACTCAAACGCTTTATTGATATGTTCTACTAATCTGTGCACTTGTTCTATTGTACCGTGCCCTCGGCGAAAGCCAAACTGGTGGTCAGGTAAAAGTTTATTCAAAGCAATAATCGGGAGTAATCTGCGCAAAACAAGTATTTCCATAACTTTAGATGGTATGGGCAGCAGACTAATAGGTCTATATGATTGCGCCTCTACAGGGTTTTTACCCGGCTTGGCAACCATTATAACTTGTGCTACTTTCCACTGGGGAGGAACCATACTTCTTCGGAGGATAGCATTAATAAGAAAAGTTAGGAATTGAACGCCTTCCTTTGGTAGTTCTCTTAAAATTCTTCCAGTTATGAGATCGTATCCAGGGCTTTATTTGGGTCCAGTGCCCTAATCGCTGTTTTTACTTCTTCCTTTGTGACTTTGGTAATAGGAGGATCCAGTTGATGGGTTTGGTTCAATAATTGTGTAACTTCCTGGATTTTAGAAGAGCCCGTATCGGGTTTGGTGTAAAAACCAGTTTAAGATGCTCAGCGAATGTATCAGCCTTGTCCGCATCACTGGAGGCCCATTCCGAGTTACTCTTACGGATAGGAGGTTGATTAGAGATTGGACGTTTAAGATTTTTAGTGACTTTCCATAAAGAATAGTTGGTTTCTGCTGTTGCGTTCAGGTTCCTTAAGGAGGTTTGGATATTTTCATTATTGTTATTCTGCAATAGTGTTTTTAGTTTTCCTTGTAGATAGTTCAGATGTTTTTTGTCACCAGGATAACCTGTTTTTTGCCATTTTTTTCGAGCCTCTCGTTTTTCAGTTAGTAGTTCTCGAACAGATAAGGGGCATTCTTGTTTGTGCGGCAAGTCTTTAGGAACTGGAGTAGCAAGCCAAGCAGATTGTTGAACAGAGCTATTAAAATGTTCTACTGCTTCTGTTATGTCGTTGTCCGTTATTAGGGCAATTTTTATATTCAAGCTTTCCACCAGTAGCTGTCTAAAGAGGTTCCAGTTAGTTTTATTGGTATGCAGCTTGCATGGCTTAGGTGACACTATGATTTTCTTTTTTAATACTATTTCAACAGGGGAGTGATCAGATGACAATTCGGTACTCGTTCTGCTTGTAAAAAATTTACTAGAAATTCCTTTTGTTATACAAAAGTCGAGCAAGTCTGGTAATTTATTCCTGTCTGTAGGCCAGTAGGTGGGTTCTCCAGATGAAACAACGTTAAGATTTAGCTTTTCTATGGCCATTAGCAGCTGTCTACCTTTCGCAGTTATGACACGTGAGCCCCAGTAATGATGCTTGGCATTGTAGTCTCCTCCAGCTATAAATCTATGTCCAGCTAAGCTATAAATAAATAAATAATGAAAAAATATTAGACACGTATTTTTTCATCTAAAATAACATAACATCACGCCTTTTATCCCCGAAGGGGAAGGCAGAGGAGCACATTACGGCACTTAATGCTACTGTACAATGTAACACCCACTTATCACTATTTATGTTATGAGTCCCATGTAATAGGGTGTGAGCCTATTGCCATATACTGGGCACAATTCCAGACTCCGTGCTACCATTATTTGTACTTACTTTCTCTTCATCGCTACTGTCACTTGCAACATCGATCTCCGGCTTGGACTTCTTTGGACCGCCAGTACTCTGTATATTGGGATTACTCTTCTGTGGACGCTTTGTAGGCAGCACTACGGTCTGCTCGTCAGAGTCTGAACTGTTCTTCTCTGAAATTTGGAATATTCATTAATTAGTTTAATATTTGATATATGACTGCCTCATTCTCCGAGTGGTCTCAGATGAGGCAAAGTATTAATAGGTTTTAAAAAAAAATCTCAGTGGTAGCAAGGAGTCTGGAATTGTGCCCGGTATGTAGTAATAGGCTCACCATCTATTATATGGGACCCATAACATAAATAGTGAAAAGTGGGTGTTACATTGTACAGTGGCATTAAGTGCCGTAATGTGCACCTCTGCCTACCTACAGGGTTCAAAGGCGTGATGTTATGTTATGTGTTTGTCAGTTTAATCCTTATCCTTACTTATATTCTAAATCGGAAAGTGAGTTTGTTTGTTTCGCCTTCACACCGTAACTACTAGACCGATTGCTTTGAAATTTTGCAGACGTAAAGTTAGAAGTCTGGATTATTTATTTATTTTATCCCGGAAAAAAACTATATTTCCAAGGAAAAACAAAAATATTGGTATAGATGGCGCTGTATGTACTGGTATAGATGGCGTTGTATTGTTATGTGGGATCTTGGAGGCAAAAACTATTATTTCGATTATTGGAATTTTAATAAAAAATAAAATAAAATACAGAGTTAGAAATAGAAAGTGTCCACATCAAAAACGCTTAAACCGAACTAATTCATACATCGCCGGAAATGCTTACGAGGATTTTCAATTGACGTCAATGCATTAAGTAAAACGAAGTAAACAACTGAAGCTGGCTCAGCGGTTTACTTAGCCTTGGTATAGCAACGTGATGCTGATATAACAGCCCCCCCGATAAGACTGATCATCACAGATGAAGTGATGAGAAAGATACAAAACTAAGATTTTGATATGGACATTACAATAAAAAATCAAGAAACTAATAGGTATAGAAATTAAAACTAAACAGTTTACATAACTTACATTTAATACTAAATTAATAAAATAATATAAACTTTATGCCTGTGCTCTCCAAAAGTGAGGCAGATATAGAATTTAAACTAATAATAAGTAAACAGTATATATATATTTCATATTCTTTTCTTTTAGGAATATGTCTACCAAGTATGTATTAAAATAAATAAAAAAAAAAATAAACATTAGCAACACACAACAAAAAATAGTAGTTATTACTACTTCATAATGTTTCGTTTAATCGGAACTGGTAAAGACTTGGCTGAGACATTATCAATTTCAACTTCTGAAGAGTCTGAATTATAAGCAACATTTACAACATGATTGTTTGAGCCTTTTGACTTACTGTAATTTCTATTGTAAATTTTGATACAACAACCTGGACTTCTAGAACATAGATATTTTCTAATTTTAAACAAAAAGTATATTACACAAAAAAATAAAATAATATAGATCAATGAAAGATAATGCATACTGTACATTTCTAAATGAGAAGGCTCTCCAATATCGTCTAGTTTTTTTTTTTTTTTTAAGGTAACAATAAGCAATTTAATTAAATATAACTACATAAATATTTACAACTTAAAATTAACTACAACTAAACTATTAAATAAAAAGAAAGTAAAAGAAAACAACAAAAATTATACCCTTAATTTAGGCGTCAAAGTATTCGTCCGCATCACTATCACAGGGGAAAGTTCCCAGAAGACTGGCAGCATTGCCACGTTGAATGGCAATGCTTATTTTCTGTCCGAAGAAAAAGCCAGCCCTCTGGTCACGTGTAGAGTCGATAAGCCTACGGGCGATGTCTTTAAACACAGAGTGTGCACTGGGACCCCATGGCCCAAGTGTTTCGACCCCAAACGGCTCAAAACAGTAGTTACCCACTAGATTTGAATATTTACGCCGTTTGAGGGCCTCTGCCGCGGAAGCAGCTGCACCAACGCATGCAGCGGTGCTTAAAAGATGTGATGGCGCAAGGGTGTCTACACACGTCGCGTCCCACACCAAAGGCCTACCCATCTTCCAAGGCAGCAACGACATACCATCTGGTCTTTTGCCGTCATCACGTACCAAACCATTAGGTTCTAATACGGCTGGTACACCGGCTGAGGCAAGAGCACGACGAATGATGTCGTTGATGCTGGCATGGCGAGCTATGCGGCCTGCACTTCTGCAACAAGAAAGACCATGGTGTCCCAAGCCATCGACTCTTTCTCCACAGTGACAATAATGCGGAGAAACACAAGGAGCACCTAAACGTAGGCATACAGCTAGGCGGAACGTTATGTCATCCAACATAGTACCTATGAAGGGTGACGGGAGTGCCTGAAGCCACAATCCTGATTCCCATTCTCCCACAGCCAATAAGCGAGCTCGCTCTGCAGTATTAGGAGACGAGTTGATTAAAGACTCACGAATAACACTGCACAGCGGCACGTCCCACTGTCTCTGAGAAGATGGGTGAACAGGTAAATCCGTAAGTGGGCAAGCCATTTTCCACGCTTCCACTGCATCAGTCAAACACGGCACCTCAAAACTGGTCAGTGACGAAGAAAGAATTTTCCTGACCAATTCAGAGGTACTGTGGACCGAAGACAGAAAAGCTGGTAAACTAATACTTGAAATTTTGCGGACGCCGAGCCCTCCCATGCGAATAGGAAGAGTAGCTTGTTGCCAAGCTCGGTCATCCAAAGCCACATTAAGTATGGATGACAATGTGTGTCTGATAATTTTGTCTACGTTTTCTAAAATGTGTGAATGTTTCCATAGATGTGAAGCGCGGAGAATATAAGTAAATTTTGGTCCAAAACAACAGTACCGAATTAGGGTGAAAGCCGAATGTGTGTTGATTTTGTGTAATCTATCCGAAATGTGATTGAAATTTTGTATCTTGTCCTCGATGAATTTAGGAAAACATTCATCGAATATTGGTGAACCTAGGAGGTGAAGTGAGTACTTATCAATAATTTTGATATTTGGAGCTATTTGATTAAATTTTGCTAGAGTCGTTAGTCTGTCTGTAGAGTCAGTCGTCTAGTTGTTTTTCGAAATCGGTTAAATGTGTACTTGCTTTTAACAAGGACTCAAAACTATTAAATTCGTTTAATTTAGTAAGGGGGACAACATGTAAAGTTTTATTGGACTTTAAACTATTACAACAATCATCAGTTAATATGTTAAAATCAGATACAACAGTTGTAAAGTTAGATGTAATACTATCAGTTGGAACAAATGTTAAAGTTTTATAAAATGCTTTACAAGATTTGGGAAGATGTAAAATTCCAGTACCTGACAAGACTTCAACGTGATCTTTCATGTCGCCATCACACATTATATGGCCTTTACTCGGTTCTGATTGAACAAAAATCCAACGGTTATTAGAAATTTTATGAAACAATTCGATAGACCCGCGTAGAATTCTTGTTTGGCAGGAATTTGGTAATTTGTCGATGACATCTGTTAACAAAATCGTTTCACAGGTAGGATTTGCAATAGTTGAATAAACGTTTGTTAAAACACACACGTAACACTGATTTTTTATCACTTTGCACTCACTAACACTTTCAAATTGTGAGTAAAATAGACGGTCTGCTGTTATTGCCAGATATTGTTTACTTGGAGCAATTAAGACATAAGTATCAGGAGTTTTATTATCTAGGGAAATAGGTAAAGGTATATTTTGAAATAGATTGTAAATTTGTGAAAGAACTAGCGGTATCTTTAAGATAAGAATTAACTTGTTATCATGATAGTAACATACGATGTCGGATATATTTATTATTTTACTAATGTTTTGTAGAGATAATAGAATGGGCAACTCAGCATGTCGGGGCAGCTGATTGTAATGTAACTCGAGCTCCTTATACAATTGCATGGGACTTAGTACAGTCGGGTGCAATACATTTATTTTACTAAACAAAATAGCATTATTTATATCATCGATGTCGAAAGATAAAGTTATAATAATACTCTCTAAAGAGGTAAGTAGTAATGTTAATTGAGACTTTATTTCCAATTTATCAGTCGTATTTAAAAGCTTGCTAAAAGCTTCGTTAATTTTATACAGATTTTGATTCAAGCGGTTCTCGTTATCTTTAACTTTTGTCATCGTATTATTGAATGTAGAAATAGTAGACTTAATCACGTGAATGTTATCGCGCATTAAAATAGTTAATTGTTTTTCGTCTGACTGTACTTTGTTTATGGCGTTCGTGAATTTGTGTGCGTCATTTGAATCTAAAGTTCCGAAGAGAGTTTTTAATAAGGAGCCGCCTGCATCGATTAAGCCACGTTTTGAACGTTTAACTTCGCTTACTTGGACTAAATACGAAATAGATGAAAATTTCTTAACATTATTGTTATGTTGTAATTTAAGTGAATTTAGCGTGTTTAAACAATCAGACTTAACTTGAGATGAGGATACAGAGTCACAATATTTGGATGACCTATCAAATAAAAATTCTACATTTTCTAAATGTGGTTGTATATGACTAAGGTCTATGTAAGTTACTACATTCCAATGATCATTAGTAAATTTTACGTCTAATAACTGATCAAAATACAATCCGGGACTGTTTGAAACTTGGGTGACAAATTGATCTGCGTAAGCTGACACCAAACATCTGTAAACAATAGATAAAATTGCATGATATTATGGGATTTTATTATTCGAAGGCGGGTTTAATTTCGTCATAGTGATGACGAATATGTTTTCGGCCAACTTGTACCGTGACAGTATGATTACCATTTATCTTTATAATTCTGTAAGGGCCTTTCCACATTGGAGATAATGCTTTATTTTGTTTGTGGTGGCATCGAATGTATACCATATCACCGACATTATAGGTTACGGGGCGAGAATGGGAATCATAATACTGTTTTGATCGTTCTTTAGATTGCTGAATATTTTGCAACGCTTTTTGTCGACTATAGTATAGTCTGTGACTAAGAGCTCGCACGTAATCTGTATAAGTGTTGTTCTCAAGGGTATCGATGGATTTAGGTATATATGGTTTATGACCGAATATGAGCTCAAGTGGGGCGAAACCCGTAGTGGAATGTATGTTTGAGTTATATGCTAACATTGCAGTAT